ATTCTGACTACTAGATTCCGGGACTCTGAGAAAGTCAAGTTCTCTTGTCTGGGTCATCTAGTCAGTGGTACTGTGGTGGCTCAACATTAATCTCCCCCTAGACTGTGACCCTTAGCTTCATATGTTAAAACTCCAGGAAATAGGATGGCAGTTGCTCTAATAATTTTATTTAATGTCTTTTTTGGGGGGTGGGAGAGGGACCTCTCAAGCAGTTTAGGGGGCCAACTGACTGAGCAGCTCAACTCGTGGGTCCCGTAATATCGGGTCACCAGTGCCACACCCAGTAGTGTTGTGGGGGCCATACTATGCCAGAAGCACCCTTCATTCCTCAACTATCCTCAGGAACCACTCAATATCCTTTTGTTAAAATGTTAATGAAAAGGAATGAGAATGAAAGGACAATGAGAACCTGCTCTCATTATGTCATTTGTCTTAAACTTGCAGTTTCCAAGAACCTATTGATGAAGTTAAATGTGGACTTACTGTATAATTGGATGGTCTAATGAGTTTGGGCTACTTCATGATGAGTAAGTACTTATTGAACTGCTTTGTGTGAGAATCAATTTAAGGAAAAAAAAAACAATAGTTTCTAAGTTGCTGTATTTTCCCTTTCAAAATGAAAATCATTTTTTAGACAGATAAATTTCCTATTTCTAGAGATGTTGGCTGTCCTATTTTATTGCATAGAATGCAAATGAGAGAGTTGTTGTTGAGATTTGGTGACCATAATGTTAACATTTGACACACATGGTAGTAGGAACATGAAGCTCCCTCTTCTCATTTTTTCTGTGAACCACTTCCAAATTTACTCAGTGCATTCAGCATGCAAAATACCATTTACCTTCAAAATAAGTCCAAATGAAGCAAATTCCCACTTATAGATCCAGAGAGGTGAAATGTCTTTTTTGCAAGGATACAGAGTGAAACTTTATCTAAGAACTTACTGCTCAGACTCTGGTCCCATCTAACCTAGGCCTCTCCCCCGCCATGGGCAGTGCCAGGTTCTGCCAGCAACTGGGGTGGCTTTTGGGCTGCCTTGTGCTAGGCTGTACAGGCTGTACAGGTAGCTCTCAGTACTCCCAGGATTCAGCCAATCACCTGTGGGCAGATGTGTAGATGGAGCTGCTGTTGCTAAGGAACAAATCTCTGGGCCACTTCCTAACGAGCTCCAAAACCAATGATCAAAATGCTCCCGGATACCTGAGGAACTACAGATGCTCTTCTCAACTCTCCCTCCTCTCCTTTCCTCTCCCTTCCATTTGTAAGCAGCAGAAAAGCGGTTTTGATCTGAGCTCTAAACGTGATGTTGTGCAAGCAATGTGAAGTCCACAAGGCTTCGTTTGCCCATTGTCTGACTTGACCCCAAACCAAATCTTTGTCTAATTCAGTAATCATAAGTAGTGAAACCAAACCAAGTCCTGGATTCAATAGAACATTTTCTTCCCTTTCATTTTGGTATGTGCCACACCTGGCAGAGCTCAGGGGAAACTCCTGGTTCAGTTCCCAGGGATCACTCCTGGAAATGCTTGGGGAAGCATGTGGTGCCAGGGATCAAACTCAGCGCCTCATTCATGCAAATCACGTACTCTACCCTATTGAGTTCTCTGGTGCTCAGAATAAGGCCTAATGCTTACGCTGAGGAGACTTCTCCAAAGGCTGTGCATGAGCTGTCCAGGGTTCGAACCCCAACACCAAAGAGTCTAAAAGAACTGCAAGAAATGGCCCCAGAGCAGCGGGAACAGCCCCCAAGTACTACCTGTTGTGATTGCACCCCCATAAAGGATTTATTGCTTGACAAAAGAAGCAAAAGCATCATTGAAACAGTAGGAATTTATAAGACATGCAATGAAAATAATGGCACATTCTATTGAAAAGCAAGTTATTTTTGAAGGCAGTGACAGTCCCAGCTTTGTGTTGTCTATAGAGAAGAATAAATCAAGAGCAAAGAATGCGGTAGTCATTGCCTGTATTAGGAAAAGTGAGGTTAACAAAAATATGCTTTTAGGGGTAGAGGGTTTTGTGTCACAGGCAGCGGTGCTTGGAGGCTATGCCCAGCTCTGTTAGGTTACTCCTAACAGTGCCCAGGGCACTGAAACAGGGTCAGCTGCATGCAAGTTGCTTAACCTCTGTACCACCTCTTTGGCCTAAAGGTAAAATATTTTTGTTTGAAAAACTGTTTAAACCTATATCTAGAAAATACTCAAGAGAGTGCTCATTACTGTCAAGTTTATCTTACCTTTCAATCTGTAGGTATTTTGGTATTTATTTATTTGCTTTTTGGGCCACACCTGGCAATGCTCAGGGGTTACTCTTGGCTCTGCACTCAGGAATTACTCCTGGCGGTGCTCAGGGGACCATATAGGATGCCGGGAACTGAACCTGGGTCGTCCACGTGCAAGGCAAATGCCCTACCCACTGTGCTATTGCTCCAGCCCCTGTAGGTATTGTTTTTAAAGAATCAGTTTTCACTGCGGTGTGGTAGTTTATAACAGTACGGCTTTACACTTGCAGTGTGCTCCCATCACCCCATCGCCAATGCCAGGATCCCTCCAACATGGTCCAAGGTCCTTTGTCCCCCATCCCCCATCCCCTTGGCAGCCTCTGTTTCTATTCTGTCAGGCTCATTTCCACTGGGCACTGTCTAATCCCTTGCAGTGTTTCTTGATACTTGCCTTTGTTTATTTATTTATTTATTTATTTTTATTTTTTAATTTTTATTAGTGAAACACCATGAGGTACAGTTGTAGACTTAGAAATTTTTGTGCTTGGGTTTCAGTTATACAATGATCAAGTACCCATCCCTCCACCAGTGCCCATTTTCCACCACCACTGGGACCCATGGTGATACTCGCCTTTGAATGAGCGACATCAGCTGGTATTTGACTTTTCTCTTCTAACTCATTTCACTTAACATGAGCAGCATCTTTTGCTAGTTCTTCGTAATAACCTTGCTCCCCCCAGAAGTAAAAGCTGGGTCATGTCATGAAGGGCTAAAAAAAAAAGTGGACTTTGAGCACTTTGAAAATATTAATCATGGTAAGGGTTTGCACTGGAATCCAGTGGACTGTGAGAATGACCCAACCAGAGGAGCAGTGTACTCAGGAGACGTCTTGTGGCTGGAGCTATGGGCACAGATCCAGTCCATCTCTGAAATGCTTCACCCCCTAAACTCTGGGATAACAATAGAATGTTCTTTTATGGATGAGAAGCATTGTGTTGGAGGCAAGTGGAGGAACAGAGGCCCAGGTAACAGGGAACTCTCACATTTGGGTTTTGGTGTTGACATTTTTAGGGCATGGGGTGGCTCTGAAGCAGTGCTCAGGAGGCGAAGGAGCCCAGCAATGATTCGATGCAAGGCTGTGGTGCTGCTCTGGTCTGGTGGTCCTGGGATGACCCAGGCTGCTCCTGTGGATCCCAGAGCCCAGAGGCCTCTGGGGCTACACCCATTGGTGCTGGTGGTGGTGGGAGGAGGGGTTCCATGTGGTGCCAGAAATCAATCCCAGGTTGGCACATACCTATCTCCCAGCCCCTCAACCCTGGCATTTTTTAACCAAACCATCTTCCTGGATTTCAATGTCCACATCTTTTGAAATGGAGCTAGGAATTCTTCTGTAATAATTCTTAAATTGTCATATATCTGGAATAATATGATAAAAATGTTTTCTAGAAAAACAGTAGAGAGAAAAAAATGTACGAGGATGCCACATATCAGACACTCTAATGATGGGAAAGCTGAGGTTCTAACAATTAAAAAAAAATCTAAGTCAAATTATTCATAAAATAATTTTAATTAAATTTAAAGAATCCATTTTTCTCTAAAGAAACATTCTTCACTTTAATACATGTTTAAGGCTTACTACTGCTGAATCTCAAAAGCAAAATAATCAACAGTGGGAAATGAAAACACTTTCTTTAAATATTTCCTTCCAAATGTCTTTTCTTGACAGACTAATTATTAATAGAAATATCTGTATGTTTTATGCTTTTTCCAAAATCCTTTCCAAAAGAGACCCCATAATAATTATAACAAGTTAAATAATCATAGTATTTAAAATTCAGCAACAGAAAAATCTGACATATTGCTTATTTTTCCAGTTTAAAGACTTTTTATGCAGAGTAAAAAGATTATACAATATTATGAATAATCTGTAGACAAAATTTCCTTACATAGAAATTTAACCCAAAATATTATTCAATGAATTTGGGTGAAGGGTATCTAGTACATAAGGTATACTAAAAGAACATTCAGTTATTCCTAAAAATAAAATTCAAAACCAAGAATATAACTAAAGGCTTTAGCTGTTAAAATTAGAAAACCATGTAAGAACATAAAATATTTTTAGTAACTGCATATGTATCTTCAGGTTTACTTTTTTTGAGGGTGATGGTATTAAAAGACAGATATAAGTGCTTAATAAATGTTTCAATACTACTTTTTTCTACTGAACATATGTATGTACCTATAAATATTTAGGGAGAATTTGGATCAGATCATTATACATGACAAGATAATCTGATAAGGTCATGCCCTTTCATTTGATCTTTTGTGGAGACAGCCTGAAAGAAGTAAGCAATATTTGTAATCATTTTGTTGTACTATTAGACCTGACTTGATTTTCATAATTTCTTATTAGGAAGTTCAGCTGGTTAAAAAGTTAACTTAAAATACTCATGATTCTAGTTAGAATATATTTTTATAAAAATAAGTATCTAAGAAATAGATACTTTGTTTTCAGATGAGGTAGATAAATCAAATTCTAGATCTTGATCTGAACTTAAAAAATTAGAAGCACTTACCAATTTAAAATCTATATAAATCAAGACAAGTGGCCACTCCCTTTTATTTTGACATTTATGCTTCAAGTACAGGCTTCTGCAATACCACTTTTCATGCTCCAAAACCTTGGTAAATTAAAACTCATAGTTTTCAGGAAGTTAATTATCATTTAATTGACCTAGGGAGTTTTGTTACCTGGATGAAAGTCAATTGGAATTGCATACAAAAAAATTAGGTTTTCATTTACGTTTAAGTGGTATTTTCCCCCTTACATACCTTATATAGTAAAATACAACAGCAGGCAAAACCATCACTCTTCTGAGTGTACAATTATTTGGATGGTAAAGAGTTGATAAAAATTTCAAGGTCTGCTAAAGCATTATGAAGCCCTTCATCCATGTGTTGACTTCTAAGAAAAGTTTTCAGCGTATGGAGAGCAGTTACTGCTTCTGGTTTTGAGGGCAAAGGGAGCTCGGTTCCCAGGACACCCCCATCCTCATCCTCATCAGAAGCATAAAATCTAACTTCATCCGCCTGGCTCTCTCTGGGCCACAACGAGTCACTGCTGAGTGCCCCTTCACAGGTCTCCAGGTCATCGTCCAGGGCCGCGTACTCCTCCAGCGACAGCCCTTCTGGAAATTCCACTCCTGCCGCCTGGGCATCCGCCACCAGATCGAGGCCCTTGTCCATCTCTCCGCTGCCCTTCTCACTCTCTGCTCCCTTGGGAGATTTGAAGCCCGCCTCTTCATAGCTCTTAACAATGGTCTCCGGGGTCACAGCCCGCCAGCACAGATGCAAGGTGTCAACTGCATCCAAAAGAGAAAAGGTAAATTCTCTGCTGCCTTCCACAGAGCTCAAAAATTTCTTGATGAGACAGTGCCGGTATTTGATCTTAAGGCTCTGGATCACACCTTGTTTCATGGCTATCAATTTGGACGATAAGCACGAGGGGAAGAATGCTAACTCGATGGCCTTTAGGTTCTTGACCTCTGGGTGTGCAGGAAAAGAATCGACAAAAATCACCACTCTTCGGTGCTGGGCTTGAAACTTCTGATCAAGCTGCTGCATCCATTGTTCAAAAACTTCAGGGGTCATCCACGCCATGGGGTTAGCTTCATAACGCACAGGCAAGGACCTGATGCCTCTGAAACAGTGCGGGCTTCTGTTTTTCCCGATGACAAGCAGAGGAAGTTTCTCCGAGCCGTCCATGTTTGTCCCAACCACCAGAGTTAACCTGTCTTTGCACAACTTCCCAATGGAGCAGGTTTCTCCTTTAAATGCAAAAGTATTCGTAGGCAACATTCGATATAGCAGTCCTGTCTCTTTTATATTAAAGACATTTTTAGGAGGATAATCATTTAAATAGTAAGGAAGTATATTCTGGTGCCAGACAGTTGAAGGATCTACTGATACCCCAGTAGCTTCTACAGGTTGGGCTCTGAATACTAATCCGTACCTGGATTTAAAACGATCCAGCCAGCCGTTACTGCACTTGAAATCATTATGTCCAAGTTTCTGGGCAAAATCATTAGCCTTCAGACGCAACATTGGACCATTTACTGGTACATTGAGGCACTGAGCGATTCGATACCATCTCATTAATGCCTCTTCCAGGTCTGTATAAAAAGCAGTTCTCAGTCTTTTTCTCTTCGGATCAAATTTCAGAGATTCAAAGGCTTCTAGGACTTTGTCTTTATTCTTCATAATGGAAGACAATGAATTTTTCTTTATTCCATATTCGGCTGCAATCTCCGCTTTTTTCTTCCCACTCTCTACGGCATTAATAATGTCAATCTTTTCCTCAATCGACAGACTTTTCTTTTTCTTCACTGTTCCGGGGAGGGACGAGGCATCCGCGGAGGCTTCTGCCATCTCCACTGGCCCGTTCTCTGCTCTTCACACGCTTGCTCCTTTAATTACATTTATTTTCCAGGATGCTGCAGCTTGCTGCCTGCTAGTCCATGCCACATATTAAATGTGTCTAACCATCTTATTCCTCAGAACTCAAGGACTAAATATAATTTTCAAAAGATCTGAAGGGAAAAAAGTTAGACATGGCTGGAATTTTTAGAGGAGAAACTTCCTTCCCAGGACCTTGTGTAACTCCGTTTTATAGTTTATTCCAAGTTCGAGGAGTCAGGCTAAAATAGAAAGCTCATTATGGCAGACCTGTCCAGTCCTGCTGATATATTTTTGGAACTCCAATCCTTTAAGATGATCCATTTTATCCATGTGCACATTCAGTCTCCTATTAATTCTCCACAGAAGGCTTCTGAGATAAGGAGAAAAAAAGCCTCCAGTAATTTTCAGGCAAAATGTTGCCCATTAATAATGGAAGAATCCTTCTAAGACTTGCCAATGTATTTTCTGTCTCTAGAAAATATTGAGAACACATATACACATCAGATTTAGCATTGATCTGTTAATTAAATATCCAAAAGATAACTGTACAAGTTAGTGATGCTTTTATAACGAGAAGAACAGGCCCGCCTTTCTGAAAGCATAGGGACCCAGCCTTCCAGGAGAGCCGCTTACCTCCCTTCCCATCGGGCTCTCCAGATCTGCTCCAGACTCCCACTTGGTAAAAGAGATTCTGAAATAAGTCCGACAAACTTAATCTGTTTTGAAGATGTGGACTTACCAAAATTAAAGCCCTAAAATTGACATTGGCTGGATCTTTGGCTGCTATTTTTCCCATGAAGTCACTGCCCCCTCTGCCTTCTCGAAACTATTCCGACAGAAGTCACAAGGTCCAACCTTTAATAGCACATGGGAGACTGTGTCCCCTTTATGGGAGTGGCCGCAAATGCTTCGCTCAAGTTCCAATCGAGAAATTCCACTGCAAATGTTATAAATCAGCATCTGAGTCTATCCCAATTATTTTCAAAATCTCATGAACTTTTTCTACCAATTTAATACAGTAGGCAGGTGTGCAGAGGCCAGAAATAGGAGTCAAAATGCACAGGAATAAACAAATCATTGTGGTTTCCAACCTTTTCCCCACATGGCCTGACCATGGCAAGCAGAAAGGAAGCGGAAAACCGTTGCCCTCAACTTTCTCTAGACAAGTGAGTGACCACTAGGTTGTAACCTCTCTTTCCTCCTGTGTCAAACACAGGGGTTCTCAGACATGCAGTGACAGTAATTCTGCCACTGGGGACTCACATAAGCCAAGGTAGTCTCAGGGACCTCAACTTCAGTTTACTTATTTGTAAATTAGCCATAGCACCTCACAGTGACTACACAATTGCTAAGATTTGACGAGAGCACAAAGAAATTTCTACATACAATAAATACTTGGGAATGGCCCCATCATCAATATCTTTTCTCTAATTTTCCTTTGGCCATGTCAGTATAGAAAATTCAGGGTCAGAGAGATAATAGAGGGTAAAGTGCTTGTCTTGCACGTGGCTCACCCCAGATCAATCCTCAGCACCACTCAGTATCAAAAGCTCTGCCAGGAGTGATCCCTGAGCACAGAACCAGGAGTCAGAAAGCCCTGAGCACAGCCAGGTGTGGCTCCCAAACAAATAAGAGCAAAAAAAAAAAAAAAATTCAGAGATTTTACGAACTTAAACTTCAAACAGAAGCAAGATTTTCACCTTAAATATATATCAAAAAACAGAGCTCTTAAGTCAACAAATCCATGAAACTAGTCATAGGGCCCCACTGACTCCCCGCCCCCTCCCCAAGCAGCAGATTTCCTGCTAGAATCTATAGTTTGGGGCTGCTATTGCTAAGTTTCTCGTTAATTTTCTGAGCAGCTGTTATCACCACCTGAGACAATATGGGCGATTCATTGAGTTGTTCTCTCTGGCTTTTCAGAATTCAAGTCAACGTAGTCTTTTACATGCAACATTTTCTGACCAAACTGTCAAAATACCTCAGCTTCTGTTGTCCAAATTTTTAATCAAATTGCCAAATTTTTATCATGGCGAAAACCAGGAAAGGAGGGTTTTGTTATTAATGTTGTTAAAAAAAATAAAAATAAAAAAGAGGGTTTAAATAATGACAGCCTAGGGCTTTGGTTTTCATGCTTCTTTACTTTCTGTAGTCCAAAGAGCTTTGTCTGAAGGTTCAACCAGATTTCAGTGCATACAGTTATAAGATGGTTCAGGAAAGTCTGGAATCCACGTTTACTAGGGTCAAGGTCAAGTCTGTCATTCTTCCCACTGCATTACAGCGTCCTTGAGCCACACTGGTAGGGCCTCCTCTGAGAACAGCATTCTATGCCCCGGCACAAACCACGTCAGCATTTCCAGTGCCCATCCAACCGTAACCGGAAAGAGGAAAAACTATTATCAAACCTCCACAGAATAAGCCACGATGAAGGCCAAGGTCAGTGATCCTACCCACAGTTAGGAAGGCCTGACCTTTATAAGGAAGATGTGCCAATTCAACTAAAATCTAAAGTATCTTATTCATTTATGGGACCTCCCTATGCATTTTTCTGTAATTTCCTTTAATTCTACAACAACTTCAAAGTAATTTTTTCCTAAATATCTCATTCTTCTCAAGAAAAGAACCTTCCTTCAGAAACAGGTAGTGAGATCTATTCATAAAAAACAAACAAAAACCCAGAAGCAAAATTATAAAATATGGGAATTTCAGAACTTTATCCATCTTTTTTCCTTCCTTCCTTCCTTCCTCTTTCCTTTTTTCTGCCTTATTTGATTTTTCAGAAATAAGCCCTATCATTTGAAATAAAAGGGTTAGAGAAAAAATAACTTTAATTTCCTTTTACCTCATCCCAAATAAAGCAACATACGTAAAGAGATGCTTATCTTGATCAAACTAAAAATAGTAATAGGCTTATTTAGAAATATTATAAATTATTCTTTAAAGAAATTATTTTGGCTTTTTTGGGTCATACCCAGTGATGCTCAGGGGTTACTCCTGGCTCTGCACTCATGAATTACTCCTGGTGGTGCTCAGGGGACCATATGGGATGCTGGAGCTCAAACCCAGGTTGGCCATGTGCACGGCAAACACCTTCCCCACTGAACTATCACTGGCCCAATATTACAAATTATTTCCTAAGAGTTAATAGTATATGTTTCATGAGCGATAGCACAGCGGGTAGGGCGTTCGCCTTACACGCGGCCAACATGGCCGACCCGAGTTCGATTCCTCCGCCCCTCTCGGAGAGCCCGGCAAGCTACTGAGAGTATTCGATATGCCAGACACAGTAACAACAAAGTCTCCAATGGAGACGTTACTGGGCCCGCTCGAGCAAATCGACGAACAACGGGAGGGCCTTTACCTTTACCTTTACCTTAAAACAGCAAAGTTATGGTGTTTCACTAATAAAAATCTAAAAAAAAAGGAACCATAAAAAAAAGCAAAGCTACAATTTTCCATGGCAAAATAAAATCTATCTTTACTCTCAAAAAACCACATTTATATGCTAAAACCAGAATTTATTCCTAAATAGAATAAGGTCCTAATACTGCCAATTCAACACAGTTGCCATTGTCCATTTTTCCAAAGTATAGTATCTGAGATTTTTTTTCAGGGAGTAATAGCACAAAGTAATACTTCCCAGAAGTACTCATTCTGTTAATTAATCATTCTACCCTTGAAAATACCACAGCAGAGAAATGCTGCAGTACAAGTTGTATACTATTGCACTATGCCACTGGTGAAGCTTACTGTAAATTACCACTGAGAGGTTATCACTTGATCTCCAAACCAAGCAATGGTCAATTCTGCTGGTTATACGAGGGAACGTTCTTTCAGAAAAGGAGATGCCCTCTTGGTTTTTTGTCTTTTGCCTGAGAGAAAGGCAGTAGTTAGTGTTGGTCAAGATGCCACCACAGAGGTTAACAGTCCTCCCTAAATAGCCACACAAAGGGGGCGGGTAAAAATCATGATACAGTGTCTTAAATATGTGTGACTTACACCAGCAAGTCTGCATCTAGGATTTTATCTCCAGAGAATAGCTAAAGAGGTGAAAGTCGAGTTTCCAAATCCATGGGTTTCCTATGGCTGTGTGACAAATCACCACACATTTGGTGGCTTGAAACAACATCATTTATTATTTCACAGCTCTGTAGGGCAAAATCTCAGTCCTCTGGGTCCTCTTCTTAGGGGACTTAGCCCAGATGCTGTGGGTCGTCAACTGAGTCCTCTGCTTAGGAATCCACAAGGCAGTTAACAAGAGGCCAACTGAGTGAGGCTCTTCAAGAGGGAGGTTCTGGGGAAGGATCTGGGTTTGAGCTTTTACAGATCATTTACAGAATATAGCTCTTTGTAGTGGATAAGACTGAGGTCCCTGGATTTTTGTGCTGTCTGTAGGCAGAAACTTCTTTCGGTTCCTGAAGGCCTTCCTCCCTCATGGTCTTTGCAGTGGTGTCTTTATTCCAGCGGCAGAGACCTTCCTCATGTGTTCCTTCTAATACTTTCAATCTCTCTGGCTACCTTTTACCACTAGCAGCTGAAAACTCTGCTCTCTTAAAAAGGCTGCTGGGATCAGTTTAGACCCACCAGATTATTTCCCTTTTGATGAACGCAGAATCAACTGATTAGTAACCTTAACAACATCTTTAGATCCTCCTGCCTGTAGTATTACACAAGAGTGGGAGTGATATGCTCTCATGTTCAGGGAAGGGAAGCACACAAGGGAAAGGTCACAGGAAGTCACCTTAGAATTCTACCAAACAAGAATGATCCTCACGTTGTCATTTTAGAATCAGACAAGGCTGGAAACAGCCTAAGTAGATTACAAAAAGGATTAGGTATATAATTTAAGGAAAACCTATAAGCTGAAGTATGACTGAGTCATTCAGGAACATTTAATGAAATAAGCTAACTTCTATAACAAGGAAAAAGTAAATTACAAAACTGTATGCCAATATGTCGTACACTAAAAG